TCACGTTTTTATTCAGCACATTATGACTTATCTTTCGCCAATTTGTTTGGAAGTAATTTTAACAGTAAAAGTTATGATATATATGGTATATTAGATTCTAATAATCATAAGATAAAAGGCACAAGTGGTGTGCCTTAAATAGTCTGGTTAACAAAGTCTTTCAAATGCCTTCATAGTGCACATTCTCCCAAATCATCAAAAAGTAAACAAAGTATTCCACAATATCTTGTTTGGAATTCTATAGAAGGATGAAGAAAATTGCAACGCATACAATTGCATTTTCTGGTCCCTAGTCCTAGTTCCTATGTGCACGTAATACTAACTGTGAATATATTAATATTAGTAATCAGTAATGTTAGTAGAGGTAATTAACCGATGAATAAACAAACAAATCTACATTCATTATTAAATGCATTAGTCATAAAAAACTCGAAAAAAAGTAGAAATACATATATTACGCAAATTCTATATTTTTGAGGAATGTAACCCTGCCCTTCAATACCTCATTCAATTATTTTATTTTCAATCATTTCGTCAAATATACTTAGGAATCGAGGACGCAATATAGGTGATGTTGAAACCAGATCATCTAAAACATCTCTCAATGAATCAGTGAAACCGTCCTGGTTCTCCTTGTTGATGTCTCCTTCACAGATAACGATTACAGTCACTAGCATTGCCAGCAACAAACCGTATTGAAGGCGGTTCTTGTACTCCTGATGAAGTTCTTGTCGAGAGAAGGGCATTGCAGTCTTTCCCGCTTCTGTGACACCGAGGAAAGTCGAGTAATAAATGTCTAGAAACGAGTCCAAGTTTGTTTTCCTTACATGGCCTTCTAGACTTGTGTGGAAGAGGTAGTTGAGGTCTGTGGCGAGGGAGGCCTGGCGACACACCTGTAGGTCTAGTAACATTACTTCGACAGGAACCTCTTCTTCATTGTACCTGAAAAATAAAACGAATTAACAATAATGCATTCAGCAGATGTGTGTTTGTAGGAATATGTACCCTTAAACCTTTGTAAACAACAAACAACAAAAATTGTACGTTGTAAGTACCTAAAGAGCACGTTATTATTCCAGCAGTCACCGTGACACAGAAGGTCGAAGGGAGGAACCCTAGCGAGCTGCTCAGCCAGCATTTCTAAAACTCCCTCTCTGTTTCTGCCGAGCCAGTTCTCCGCCACTTCGTACCCTCCCACTTTATTCAGCACATCTTTAACTGTGTCCATCTGCTTGGAAAATGTATTAAACGTAACATCTCTTGCTTCATCGGCATAGTTGAGCCAATCCAGACTCAGGACTGGGTACTTGTCGGCAAGGTCTGGGATCTTGGCCTTGAGGAGGTACGAGGCTGCGTGGAGTCTGGCCAGTTCCTCGAGGACGAGCTTGGTGTGGGCGACGTCCATGCCTTTCTTGCGGTCGAACATCTTGAATCCTCTTGGCCGGAGATCCTCGAGGATGACAACCTCTTGATTTTCTTCTAAGGACGTGTGGAAGCACCGAGGTACCCTCAATGGTTGCTGACCGGCTTCTTGCAGTTGTGACTGAATATCATGCACAAGATACTGATAAAACATTACTTCTTTTTTATATAGCACGTAAGCAAACTTTTCAAACGCTTTGAAATGTTTTGGATTGTATTTGACGACGTAAGATACATTGTGGTTTGTTTCACAGAGCGTGTAATGCACATTAACTCTGGCCACAAGCGTTGCGTAGTTGTCTCCTTTCTTGGTGCATTCCTGGACCGTGAAGGAGACGAGGCGAGCGTCGCTTCCCTTGTCGTTCTTGAGCGCCGCCTCGACACTCTCCTGCGTGATCTCGCTCGGACGGAATTCGGGCACTGCGCCGTCGGTCTCCACTGGAAGAGGTCAAATAGTTTTAGATTTAACAAATAACGAGAGGATATCAATTAATGTTATTTTCATTGTATAATATATATATACATATTGGAGTAGACAGATAAACAGATAAAAAACGGCCTTAATGCACACACACATACAAATCAAAGCTCATAATCTCTATCAAAGAAATTGGATATCAGATACATGCGACGTCCTTAAAATTTGATGTAACTACACGTAAGCCTTTCTTCTTTTCTCTTCTTTTCTAGTTCTTTTAAAAGAATAAACACAAATGCAGCAAATCGGACGAATGAACCTCGTACTCACTTTTACTCGGCTCTGAAGACAAACTTTTACGCCTCTCGGGATGGCACTGTACTGTGATGATGCCTCTCCTGCAGGGCACTTGCATCTCGCATTGCCAAATACCCTATTTGGATGCCTGTTCGTTATACCTATTATTCTCCACTTACGGGGGGATATAAGCTGTTATATTTGATGTCACAGCTCCTGCGAACTAAGTTCCTCCCACTTTATGTCAAATCGGGGTTCAATAGTATTTAAAGAAGTCTTATTGATCAAATTTTCTAAAAGAAAAACGTCCTATCGCGTGACATCGTCCATACCTCGAGAACTTTGCAAGATCTTCTCTACTTAATTCCTCGTCAGTTCCCGATTCAGTTCATTTTCAAGAAAATTATTATTTCCCTTAACCAGCTAGGCAACCACACGCAGGTCTGCCAGTGAAACTCTTTGTTTAGCTGGTGCTGTGTGTTTGTGTGTGTGTTTGTTTTTTGTCTGTATGTGCCTGCGCGCGCGTGTGTATTTTGTGTGTGCGTGTGTGCACACATATATACGTGTATAGTCTACACACACATACACACAGAAATACCACACCATACACACACAAACACACACGTGTGCATGTGTTTTATATATACATACATACGCATACATATACGTATACAAAAATTTACATGTGTATATATATTTATACATAAATATATACTGATATAGATATATAGATATTTGTTTGTGTGTGTGTTAGTGAGTGTGTAGGTGGCTGCGTGTATCTGTATATATGTATATAAACGTATATATATTATACATATATATCATATATACACCTAGCTAACTAAATATATATATATATATATATATATATATATATATATATATATACTTTTACATATACATATATATATATGTATATAGGTAATATATATATGTATATAGGTAATATATATGTGTGTGCGTGCGTGTGCGTGTGTGTTTATATATATTGATAAATATTTCTATATATGTGTTTGTGGTGTGCTAACATATCTATATATCTATATATATGTATATATATGTGTGTGTGTGAGTATACATATACATATCTATATCTATATATATATAGATATATATATATATATATACATATATATATGTATGTATATATGCGTGTGTGTATGTATATACATAAGTGTGTGTGTGTGTGAGAGAGAGAGAGAGAGTACACACAAAATTAATGGAACTGGAAATAGAACATTTTTTTTTTTTTTTTTTATGAGAATGATCACTGAAGTAAACACAAAACCTGGTGAATTTGTGTGTCTGTATATACTCTCAAACACATGCACACACAATGTCAAACGTCAGTAGAAATGAAAATGTTTTAAAAAGTAGATTTTACGAAATGTTCCCACCGAGCTAAACACAAAGCAAATGTATTTGCATGAGTATTTCCTTAAACGCTGTTGTATTTCATCGTATGAAGAAAGACATACTTTTCGTCGACGAGGAGGAAAATGGTATCTACTTTTTTTTGCGTGGATGGTACTGCACTGTGGCCGGGCCAGTGAGTTGCCTGCTGCTCGGAGATCTTATTACTAGATATGTTATTTAGGTATAGGCTAGTCCATCTTTTAAATATCGATGAAAAAAATCGTCTATCTAAATAAGCACGGTTAGATCACAGCCTTATGCGCATTTCAAGCGTGGGAGATTAGGAACAGATTTTTACATTACGGTATAGATAAGTGATTATATGCAGTTGTTAATTGAGTTCTATTCGTTATTTGTGCTATAGGATCTGAGAAATAACTTCGGGCTGCTAACCTGCCTAGTTATGATTTAGTGGGGAAAACTGAAAGCTTACTCTATATTTAGCCATTTTAAGTTCTTTTAGCAGGAAACGAGGAGCTTTGACTCTTATGTCTTGCGGTTTTAAAAGTTCAGTTGAGGAATTATCAGCAGCGCCGCTGCAGGGGATATGGCTGCGGCCAGACCTTACTCCTTCCCCGCAATAACCTGTACAGTATATCTCAATATCTATCTATATTATATATGTTTACAGGTATGGGTATAGTATAGATAGATATAGAGATATAATTAAAAACAGGCAGTTAGTTATAAATAAGCACGCGGAAACAGGATAAATGTGGTTTTGCAACAAGACTATCCCCAACGATATGTCGACGCATAAAACCGGACAAAAAAAAACTTACTTTTAACGCAAAGAAAGTACCTCTCTCTCTCAAACCGCAACTACGATGTGGCGAGATCGTTGCTTCCCCGGCCTATTATCAGTCTAAATGCCAGACACGCCATGGAGAAGCAGGCACACCACCCTTTTCTGTCCTCCAAGGGAAATTTTTGGGAGGTTGGCTGTTGCTGCTGGCATGGTTTCACTGACAATGAATATTCTGGCAATGCGTTAACAATGAATGAACGATGCCAAAGTGACGAAATGTGTTAAAAAGTCCTACCGAATGGCATCGCTCGGTGCTTGATTACATCGCAAGGACATCAAACATAACACTTATACCCACGGCTTCACTAAAAGGTGAAGTAAGATGGATATAATTTTGTTTTTCTTTCTAATGCTATGAATACTGATATTTTTATTGTTCTTATTGATATGATTATGGCATTGTTAATAAAACATTAATAGCATTAAAGATAATAGATTAAATACCATTGAAACTTTCAAAAAATCAAGAAAAAAGGGTAAACAGGTGAGATAGGTAAGACTGACTCCTTGGTGACTAAGCACTTGTATCATCATCTGTGTAAATACAATAAATAAATTTGTATTACAGTGGGTCTGTATTCTTGCCATCCGCGTCGATTGGGTTAAAGTACATCAGTTTAATTGTCCATATGCATTCTTTCCACTTGATCATCATCATTAGTAATAGAATAGGCATTTCTATTCTGGTTTATGTAGCCTACTACAACCACTCTATTCTCAATGTTTCTCTTAAGTCAGATCGTTCAGTGTAAATCACTCACTGAAATTAAGTTACTTAATAAGTTTCAACGGGCACCCTTTAATGCAGAATTAGAAGAGTCTACACTATAAGTACCAAAAAAGAACGCTCAGAAAACGTAATGCAATCTTGAGAGAGTATCCAATACTACAACTTGACTAATTCACTCAGTTGTGTATGGAATTAGATCGTACATTTAAAACGGAACGTACCGGTGCAACAGAAAATGGTTTCTTCAAGGCGTAACTACAAAGAGCTTAAAATCAACATGCTTTTTCTTACAAATATAATTAATAAGAAATACTTCGATCTCTTAAAGTCATACTATAATGGAAAATTATTTTTTCCAGTTTCAGGGGGTAACAGTAACAAAATAGTAAATCTTAACGAAGCATGTAAAGTAGTTGGAAGTAACTTAAATTATCATCATTATCGTCTTTATTATCAACTACTATAATTATTGATAAATGGACATTGGGCCTTCTGCGTCAACTGAGTTTTTTTTTTTAAGGCTTATGACCATAATCGTGATCAGAATTCAACTATGATTCATATTGATTTTAAAACCTTATTTCTGTTGTTGCTACTATTATTACCGCTGTTTGTATTTCATCGTATGAAGAAAGACATACTTTTCGTCGACGAGGAGGAAAATGGTATCTACTTTTTTTTGCGTGGATGGTACTGCACTGTGGCCGGGCCAGTGAGTTGCCTGCTGCTCGGAGATCTTATTACTAGATATGTTATTTAGGTATAGGCTAGTCCATCTTTTAAATATCGATGAAAAAAATCGTCTATCTAAATAAGCACGGTTAGATCACAGCCTTATGCGCATTTCAAGCGTGGGAGATTAGGAACAGATTTTTACATTACGGTATAGATAAGTGATTATATGCAGTTGTTAATTGAGTTCTATTCGTTATAAAGTACATCAGTTTAATTGTCCATATGCATTCTTTCCACTTGATCATCATCATTAGTAATAGAATAGGCATTTCTATTCTGGTTTATGTAGCCTACTACAACCACTCTATTCTCAATGTTTCTCTTAAGTCAGATCGTTCAGTGTAAATCACTCACTGAAATTAAGTTACTTAATAAGTTTCAACGGGCACCCTTTAATGCAGAATTAGAAGAGTCTACACTATAAGTACCAAAAAAGAACGCTCAGAAAACGTAATGCAATCTTGAGAGAGTATCCAATACTACAACTTGACTAATTCACTCAGTTGTGTATGGAATTAGATCGTACATTTAAAACGGAACGTACCGGTGCAACAGAAAATGGTTTCTTCAAGGCGTAACTACAAAGAGCTTAAAATCAACATGCTTCTTCTTACAAATATAATTAATAAGAAATACTTCGAACTCTTAAAGTCATACTATAATGGAAAATTATTTTTCCAGTTTCAGGGGGTAACAGTAACAAAATAGTAAATCTTAACGAAGCATGTAAAGTAGTTGGAAGTAACTTAAATTATCATCATTATCGTCTTTATTATCAACTACTATAATTATTGATAAATGGACATTGGGCCTTCTGCGTCAACTGAGTTTTTTGTTAAGGCTTATGACCATAATCGTGATCAGAATTCAACTATGGATTCATATTGATTTAAAACCTTATTTCTGTTGTTACTACTATTATTACTGCCGTTGTATTGTATTTTGGTTTTGTTTATAGGAAAACGTTACAAGAGCAAATGTATTTTTATAGTCCAATGAGCACGCGGTTACCCTCACAAGGCCAGTTTTAACACTTGAAGAGAAACCAACCACACCCTCATTCTTTGTTGTTTAGCAAAAGTGGAACGTTTGTGTTTCTAACGAGAGGATGATGATAATAATGGAAATAGTATAATATATGAATAAATGAAGCTCAGACGAGAATGCTGTATCAGAAAGAATCCAGTTCGGGAATCTGAATTTCTAGAAGGAATAAGGCAAGTGTTTGGGCATAATGTAACTGTTTCTGTACATGAAAAAAAAACACACACACGCAAACACACACACATATATATGTATATATATATATATGTGTGTGTGTGTGTGTTTGCATACATAAATGTGTATATACACATAGATGCATACATAAATAATATATATACATATGTAAGTATGTACATACATAAATGTAAATATATTTGCATGTATATGTATCTACTTATATATATATATATATATATATATATATATATATATATATATATATATATATATATATATATATATATATATATATATACACACATATACGCATATGTATGTATATATGTGTGCGTGTACATGTATGTAAAAGAATGCATATATGTATATGTATCCATATAGATTTAGATATAGAGGGCTTCAAAAAGTTCGTGGGAAAAGTTCATAACTAAAATCGTATGGAAAGATTTTGATTTCAAAGCACCTGACCATTCTTCTACCAACGTGTTATAAGGTGTTGAATCACAAACCCAAATATATATATATATATATATATATATATATATATATATATATATATATATATATATATATATATATAATTGTATATCTATTTAGTTAGTTGTGCATTTATATTTGATATATGTATAATGCATAATATATGTATGATACATATATATATGCATACATACAGATACACATTCACAACACACACGCACACAAATATCTATTATCTATCAACTTCTGTCTATATATATCTACATATATGTATATATATACATATGTATTTATGTATGCATATATATATATATATATATATATATATATATATATATATATAT